TTTCCAGAGCCCGCAGGTTGGAGAACAGCCCAGGCAACTTGGCGAGACTTTGTCTCTACAATAAATTAAAAATTAGCCAGGCGTGGTAGTGCATGCCTGTAGTTCCAGCTACTTGGAAGGCTAAGGCGGAAGAATCACCAGAGCCCAGCTGGTCAACACTGGAGTGGCGGTGAGTGTGCCATTGCACTCCAGCCTGGGCTACAGAGTGAGACTCAAAAAAAAAAAAAAAAAAAAAAAAAAAAAAGAAGAAAGAAAAGCAAAGAAAACTAAATTTAATAGAAATTCAGATTACATAGGGCATTATACATTTGTCTAAAAAGCATATACCGATGCCAAACCCTTTCAGCATCTTCTTTTACCACTGATTACAAATAAAACACATGTGCTCCTTTAGTATCTCACTAATTCTTGGATACACCTTATATTGGGACAATAGACTTATTATTGTAAATATTTAAGGCACTGACTTTGTTTTTCCTTTGAATTGTCATTTGAATTTTTTTTCAACTATATGAGTTTGCTGTATATTTTTTGACTATATTTTTTCCCATTTCTCTGTTCAAACATCTTTTCAATCTGTTGCTTAGACTCTCCATCCCTTTTGTCCCTGCTCCTGATGCTTCTTCTATAAGGAACATTCCTTTCCTAGTCTTATCTGAGTACTGCTATCCCTCACAACCTTTCCATATCTTGAAATTATAATGATCTTGCATCTTCCTATATCCTTCAGCACTTAACAACATTTGGTTCTTGTGCTATGCTATATATTTTAAAACCTGCTGTTTTAATTGACAAAAAATTATACATATTTATGGTGTTTAAACTGATGTTTTGATATATATACACTGTGAAAAGGATAGGTTAAATCAAGCCAATTAACATAGATAATACTCCATATACTTATTTCTTTTTGTGATGAGAACATTTAAAATCTACTCTCTTGGCAGTTTTCAAGTATACAGTTGATTGTTTTTTATTATAGTCACCATGTTGTACAGTAGATCTCTTGAACTTGCTCTTTTTGTCTAATTGATATTTTGTATTCTTTGATCAACATCTTTCCAACCTCCCTTTCCTCTCCTTCTGCTGACTACCATTCTACTATGTGCTTCTATGATTTTGACTTTTTTTAAATTTCACATGTAAGTGAGGTCATGCAGTATTTGCCTTCTGTGCCTGACTTATTTCACTTAACATAATATCTTTCAGGTCCACCCTTGTTGTCACAAATGACAGAATTCCCTACTACTCAGGCTGAGTAGTACTTCATTGTGTCTATGTGCCACATTTTCTTTATCAGTGTTGAATTCATATCTCAGCTTTTGTAAATACTGCAACGAACATGAGAGCACAGATATCTTTTTTATGTACTGATTTAATTTCCTTTGAAAATATACCCAGAAGTGAAATTGCTGGATCATATTTTTTTAATATGATATTATCACAGGCTCTTATAATATTCAGTACTTGATGAGTGGTCCATACATGTTTGTTCAACTGATCCTCAAAAAAAATCACTTCAGCCAGTTCATTGAAACTGCCTAGAAAATGAAGGTTCTGGGGGAAAAAATGGCATTGTCCATTTACTTAATAGCTCATTATTAATTTGAATTTGAAAAACCAAAACATTATATTTTGTGAATTGAAGCGACAATATATAAACACCACTGCACATTAGCCAAATCAAATTTCATGCTGTGACTAGAAATTGGTGGTAGTGGTAGTACATCTACATGGAGATCAATATTATGGTTTTAAAAAGCACACAGCTGCATAGAGAAAAAAAATATCGGAACCATTAATAAAAAAATGACCATTGGCTCATTTTTATCTAAGCAATGCAAAATTGCAAAATATTGAATTTTTTGTAAGTTATGAAATTAAATAACATTAAATGACTAAAGGGCAGATACTATCAAATGGTAAAATGCTCATGATGGCAGAAATTAAAAGTAGAAAATAATTGTATTTCCAGATATTTTTATGAACTGCCTCAAGATAGTTAAAATTATTTTGAAAAGTTTAAAAATAATCTGTGAGGGAAACACCTAAATACTTTAGATTTATTTTAGATAATGTATTGTGCCACATTAATTCACATGATCTTTTCTTTCCTTCTGAGAGTGAGAGGCAATCACTATTTGCACCAAAGCAAATGCTGCCTAATCTTGGAGCATCCAGCACAGGGGCACTTGTGCAGAGAGGTTAATATGGTTTCGTGTTCTTCTACAGCTTGTAAAATCACAGTGCAGATAAAACAATTTATTTTGTTAATGGAAAAAGTGAACTCTTTGTGGGGACACAGAAAATATCAAGATCCTCTGCAATTCTGCTTTAATACAAGCAAGTGTCTTGAATGTTACATATGCAAGCTGGAGGACTTTGTGTGCCGTTGGATGGTGTTCTAGGCTCACATAGAAAGTCCATGTTGTGACCTGTGGTGCTAAATATGGTCCAGAGTGAACTGAATTTGCACACATTGGTAAGACCGTAAAGACATATTGAATGAATGAGTCACCATTTACAATTATTCAACCTTTACCCCCCTTTTAAAAAGTGGCTTTTTGTTTTAAAAAATGTCTTTAGATAAAATTCTAATACAACAGATGTTATGTTATGAAGAAGCTTCCAAATCCTAACAAAACAAAACAAAATACAACAAAACACTTATTTCAGACAATATTTAATGTCTAATGGGAGATATAAAGATTAATAAAATCTCATTCTTTCAACTCTGAGTTTTTCAGTCTATACCTAAATGTTTGGGTTCTTATATTTATTATGGTTATCCTTATTATTAAAATAAAGACAACAAAGAACACTTATTGAGTAGTTACCCTGTATCAGACCCCAAGAAAAGAGCATTGCATGCCATTATAAAAAATTTTGTTTCAAGCAACCCTATAAAGTTCTTATGTAGATAAAGGAACTGTATCTTTCTGATAATTACATGGCTAGCAGTATGTTATGAACACAAGTAATCTAAGTTCAGAATCTGTTATTGGAGTAATTAAATTTTATGTGATAGTACGCAATTACATTTTATAAGGTTTATTGTTATAAATCTAACAATGTTTATAACCTATTGAAAGAATGTACAGGATTGCAAATTTATGTTTTAGGTAAATTTATGTTTTAGCATGTTTGCCTAAGCTGTTATTACTGAATATCATAATTATTATTTCAATCATGAGTCATGCTGTCAGTTTTATTAGTGGCCTTGAATACTGAATGCATCTGAAAAGTACACTAATATATAAGACAAAATAGCATGTTTCTATATTTTCACAATCTAAATCAATGATATATAATACAACGTTACCTACTCCCAATCTGTGTGTGAAAGTACTACCTCTTTAATGGCTATTATTGAATATTTTTATATTTAATTTTGTTTCTCATTAAATTAAACTCAGAAGAATGGCTGGATTTTATGGAATTACTTTAAAATACAAGCTAGTATCAGATTTGAGAGAGGTAAAGAATGTATGGAAAATAACTTATTTGAGGGTATATTAAAATTACATAGAAATATTTGGTCCAAACATGTATATCTAACATATTTAAAGGATCCTAAGAGTACATCTTTTTTTTACATTATCCTCTATCCCCAAATGTGTTTGTGTGCACACACACATGTGTGTATGTGTGAGAGAGAAAGAGACATGGAGAAAAATGTAGACACGAGAGGGAGAGGTAGAGAGAGAGGAAGAAAGACAGGAGACGAACAGGCAGTGGTGATGGCATTTCTTATTCTCATTCTTGAGAATTTTTTTAGTGATATAACAAATCAATAAAATGAGATTAATTAGGATTTTTAGATTTATTTCTAAGGTGTTTTGTAATATCAGTTTGGTACAGAATAAAATGAGGTAACCTATTGGCAGTCATGTGGTCTTTCTTATAAGTGATGCAATATACTCTCATACATTTAAAAAATTTTTCTGTACTTCTAAAAAACATGCATTTCTTATGATACACTTATTTTTTCTTTTTCAGTTTGAAAAACTAAAACTACTATGTATGAATAAATATGTTATTGTGTTACATATATGTGGCTCAAAGCAATATAAAATATGCATAGATTTTATTTTGGTAATGCAAAACAGAATTAAGAATTTTGATATTAGCAGATAGGATATAAAGAGTGTAGGCTTTAGTAAATTATTTCTTCAAAAATATTTGCTAAAGAGGTAATACAGGCAAATATATGTTATTTATATATACTAATTAGTTAAATAACAATAATTGAAAAGATCAATTTATGTCATGTTCTTTTATGTGAAACACTTTTCCAGTTACAATGTAAGTTTATATTCTAAAAAGGGAAAAGAAGAAATGATTATGTTTAGCCTCAACATGTTATAAGGATGCCTACTTGTTTTAAGTTCTTTTTATTGACCATAACCATATTTTACAATTTTTTAACCTTCTATTCTACAATTGGATGAATTTTTAAAACATGACACTATATGAAATAAAATTTTTAATGTGATACTTCACTTTAATTTATTCTTCAAAGGTTTTTAAATGTTTAGTAGAGGCTTTAAGAACATGCTGTATATGAATTTCAATGCTATGTGTCTTATATGTTACATGAATTACTTTATTAAATAATGATTGTCAAAAAGTTGGACTCTGTTGTGTATGCAATTAGAAACTGTATTGCTCTCTCTGTACATGCTGTACATGTGAGTGACCCCATGGGTCTCTCAAAATGAGCCTTTAACATTCCAACATTTTTACTGTGCATCTGTTGCTGGCATCTAGCCTCCCACCCACACAGGCTAAGACTAACTAAATGAAGTTTATGCTAGTGCAATAAAGTGCATAAAGATGAAGTAATAAAATGGGAAGATAGTTACCTTACTGGTGGCTTGCTAAAATAGTTTCACTGGAAGATTGTATACATGTTTTTTAAAGAAAACAGAATTGTGAGAAGAACCTAAACTGTATTTTAATGGTATTTTTTACCTATCTTTTTATGTTCTATATTCCAGATGGGATTTATACAGCTCAATGAGGACTTTATATTTATTGAGCCACTCAATGATACAATGGCTATAACGGGTCACCCACACCGTGTATATAGGCAGAAAAGGTCCATGGAGGAAAAAGTCTCAGAGAAGTCAGCTCTTCACAGTCATTATTGTGGTATAATTTCAGGTAATGCTTTCTCCTGAAAGGATTTAAGTAAATATGCAATGTGAAATGACTCCTTTAAAATATTTTCCCTCTCCTTCTTTCATCTATCTACTAGCTTTAGTTCTATTTTTAATGTGGAATTTCTTCTGGTTAATAACAGTTAAGTGTCTCAATTGTGGAATTATCTTTTAATTTTTTATGAAGCACTACATTTTAATATAAAAAACAGAGATTTAAGAAGACTTTAAGAAAACATGTCGTATACTTTTCTTGAATTGTAAAGTGTTCCTCATGGGATACTGTTCACATCACTGGAATAGAAATGACACAGAGAATTCCAGATACCCTGAAACTGAATACTGTGAGTTCATAGACTTATTTTAGTCTACCTCTATGATATCTTTTGCCTTGACCAGAAGCATCCTCCTCCTTTCTTTCTCTCTGTCTCTCTCTTTCTCCACATAAAAATCTTTTTGGAGGTTAAAATTAGCTGCAGTATAAAAAGAAGAGCAAAGATTTATACTTTTGAATTTTGTTCTCAGTATTTAAATCCCTTAAGTCTGGAAATTTTCAGAGACTCATAAACATTCCAAACCATCAAATCTTAGTCTCTTTTTGTCTGCACAGAAATAAAATTAAGGTGACTGTTTTGTGTACCTTTTTATTTCCTTTAGACAGATTTGACATGTACAAGAATTAAAAGAAAAGTGAATGATGTTTGCTATATAAGTAGAATCTGAAAGTCATAGCCAACATTAAAAAAAAGATTCAAAGTTTTTGTAGGAAAAACATTTAGACATCTAATCCAGACATCTCCGTGACTATTCACTGATTTGAAAAATATTTCCAATTACAACCTGAAAAAATATGAATATTGAAAATTTTTAGTGTAAAAGCTAAAATTTGACTTGCAGATTTACAGTTTTGTCAATGTAGTTTGTGCCAAGATATCAAATCAAAAATTTATTATGGTATTTGGGGTTCCTTTAGGTATGTGAATTGTGACACTAAGTCACATTTGCAGAGTTCATACGATGCTTATCTCATCGATTGTCTATAGTGCTCAGATTTAAAAAAAATTACAGTATGTTTCTGTTTAGAATATATTCATCCCAAATTGATCTGTTACTTCTGTTATAAAAATGTATTATATCAGTCTGTATAGGAATCATCATCCAAATGAGTTAAGCGAGTCTATTTCCACATCACACTCAGTGTTATATGTCCCACTTCTCTATACTAAGCACTGTAGCCGTAAAGGAGATAAAATCAGCTGGACAAAAGTTATGGCATCATGAGCAAAAGCAACCTACAAAAACAATAGCAACAATTTGTATTCCGTTTAAGGAGACTGCTTTGTATTAGTTAAACTGAAAATCCGCACTGGGTAATATTTGAATCATAGTAAGTTCCAGCTGTTCTAATTACTCGTGTACACTGATGACACAAAGCAGGCTTTGTATACTATTATGCATGGAGAAAAATTTTCTAGAAAATTTTTAATTTTAATAGGTTAATAAAGCATAAGTACACATTTGTGTTTAGCAGACATTATTCATAAAGTTACTGATACATGTTGTTTGTAGACATGATTGTTGCACATTAAATGCTGGCCTACTTAGATGAGAAGAGTGCTAAGCTATTATCAACTGGAAGACTTACTAGCTTACCTATTTTTAGATGCTTTTTAAGGATACAGAATTTAAAAAATCATTTCAAAATTAACAGCCCATGAAATAAAATATTTATTTAATTGTACTAATATGCCAAACTGTAGTAATTCTTCTTAGACCGTTATATTAAGACATTAATAATATGGCTCAAATTTTGATAATGTTGCAGTATTTGCCTCTGCAAAATGAAATCATAAAGTTTAGTTGCCTTAACTTAATATTTTCATGATTTCCTTTCATCTGAATGACTTAGGCAGATTATGTTTAGATGTACTGATTACCTGAATATATCTATTTCCAGAGCCCTTCCTATTTTAAAATGACATTAATGTGTTATTTTATTAAAACATAATGTAGAGGACAGAAATGCACATGAGGTTGAGTAAGAGGCCTCAGGTTTAAGGTCCCACTTCAGTCTCACTTCAGCCAAGGTAATCTAGTGAAATTCTCTTAAACTTTTGAACCCTAGCTTTTTTATTTGCAGCGTAAGCACAGCTAGTCACCTCACAGGGATGTAGAGCTAAATGACAGTTTCTTTTCTCGAGAGATGAACTATGTATTATTTTAAACAAACTGGTAAATCATCAATTATACTATATTGTGATTAGAACTACAACAGGCTCAGTACATAAGATCCCAAACTCCTAAAAGTGGGAAGCTGTGCCTCAAAGATTAAAAAAAAATATTAAGATTAGAGGGAGAAAAAGGAACAGAGTATCTGGGTCAGGTTAAGATAATGGACGTTGGGTCAGAATGCTGGTGTTCAAACCCCTATGCCATTAATTTCTAACTGTGATATGTTGGGAAACTTGCTTTATTTCCCAAAAGGGCCATCTGAAATATACAAAATGGTGGTAGTGATGCGTGAACCTCAAGCCTGTCCTCAGAATCAAATGAGATTATGGGTGAAAATTAAAAACATATGTGAAGTGTTTAGTATTTAGTTGTTAGGTGTGAATGGAGCAAGAGCATTTCAGGCAGAAGGTGCCACACATGCAAAAGTATAAAGGCAAGAGGAAGCATCCACCAGGGAAGTGGAAATCAAGTCTCTGTACTTGATAAGGTCCAGTCCCGGAAAAGGAGTCATGGACTAGATAATCAAAAGGTTTATCTGAAAATGACATGATCAATTTGTATTGCCTAACATTTTAGTAGGGGGAAAAGGAGATTTATGGAGTTGAAGATAAAGATTTGAGCAAGACAAAGAGAAGTCATCTCTATTCTTAGAGCTGACTTAACTAGGCCACTAATGAAATAGTTCCCATACTCCATCTATAACTACCGTGGAGATTATTGTTATTGTATGGAAGGCATTATGGAGCACACACACTAAGAGTGTGAATATTTTTACATTTCTTCTCTAAATGGAAGTGTAGAATATCAACTGTATTGTTTTTAAACATGCTTTGGTGTGGAAAATGGACTAAAAATTTAAGAGATGAAGTAAGAGTTCAACATAATTGTAGACAATAAAAACATCAAAGGAAGTAACTTATTAAAAAGATTACTTCAACATGCATGATTTTCACAGACAATGGCTAACTTGTATGATGGAGTCTTCCCTGAAGTTGAGACTCTTGAGAAATTCAGAATTTTCCAGGTAGTCTATTTAAATGAAAGTAAGGACACAGGAAGCTGACACATTAGAGCCAATAAGGCCGTCACTAGCTGGAAAAGCATACTTTTCTAAATCTGTCATACATGTTTTTTCTGTCATTCTTGATACTGATAAAAAAAGCTCTTCCTTTTAAAAACTATCCTCCTGGTTTCTATTTTAACTCCCCTTTTATTTTTCTTACATCTCCTAGATATGTCTTCTTTAGATGTATGCCCCCCAAATGTGGTCATTTCTTAGAACTTCTTTTTTTTTCTATTTCTCATTCCACATACCTTCTCAGGGTGATATAATACAGATCCATGGGTTTAACTTCACATTGATTAGTTCCAAACGATCTCCATTTCAGCCTCTCTCTTGACTTCCAGATATATAATAACTTCTATTCAGATATCCTTAAGCATCTCAGACTTAATACATCTAAAGCAGAACCCATCATTTTTCCTCCCAAACCCCTCTTCTGATATCCCTGACTATTTACCAAGCCACCCAAAAATAAAAAGTAAAAAGTAACCCCCTTGAAACCAAAACACAAACAGCAACAAAAAAGTATTATTCTAACCACTCCCTTCCTATAAGTCGGATTGAGTTTATTCATGCTAGTGTATACTTCTTAACACTTTGTTTATTATTTTTCCCTACAACTTCTGTTCTATTGTCTATTGTCATAATAAGAAATTTTGTACAAAAAGAATCGTGCCAGTTATAAAAGGTGTTATGTGTTATTCCATTTTTATGTTTTCTACAATCCTATGAGCTGCGTAGTACCTTATTCTCACATTATAAGCAATATATATATTTGTATGTATAAGACAAAGGAAACTAAAAGATTTAAAATAAGCACCTAAGTTTTTGTAATGGCATACTGGGAATCTCACCATTCCTGGACCCTGATCTCTACAGGCAGTTTACATACTGCTTGGATTACTGCAGTTTATTGCCTCCTCTATGTCATCTTATTTCAGTCTAATCGTCTGTGATCTAGCTTCCAAGTTTTTTTAAAAGATGCATTTGATAACATTTTTTTTTCTGGGATTCTCCATATCTTCAGGTTAAAATTTATACTCTTTGGCTTGGCACAGAGCAAACTGAATATGGTAGATAGATTACCTACACCAACATCACCTGTGGCTCAGGGTTAAAGTGCAGATTTCTGAACCTCATTCCGATACTCTAAGTCAGAGTTACTGAGTCTGGGCTTCAAGGAAATCAACATTTTAAAACTTGAACCACAAAATGTAATTTTTATGCATATTTAGAGAAACATCTGTGTCCATTGAGGTCTTTTATTTGTATCCCTGTGCACCATATTCCTTCATGCTGCTAAGTCTCCTGGTTTCCTTCAAGGCTGTTCTTCTTTCCTTTAGCATATTCATCATTCAAGACTTGGTGCCTTGGAAGGCCCTTCTGAGTCCCCTGGAGATTCCTATTCTCCTGGTCTAGCTAATGCTTCCTATTGCTACTATTGCATTTTGTGCTTGTAGAGTTACACATTAGGAAATGTTGATTAGCACTTTTCTCCTATGCTTCTCTAGCATGGGAGCACTATATAGCCTAATAGAGTGCTAGACACAAGGTTTCTTCAGTTTTATTCCCCAAATGTTTACTGCATGCTGGACCCTGGACACACAAATAAGAGTAAAATCTAGTCTCTACAGACAGAAATGTGGGAAACCACAGTCTTCTTTGTGAAATGTAATAGAGTAAGAGGGGATGTTGATAATAGGAAGAAC